TAATCTAAATGTCTTGTGGAGTTGTAGTCTGTAGGACGTATCACATAAAACATAAAATGAGGGCCGGGCGGTGGTGGCGCACGCCTTTAATCCCAGCACTCGGGAGGCAGAGGCAGGCGGATCTCTGTAAATTCGAGGCCAGCCTGGTCTACAGCGCGAGATCCAGGAAAGGCGCAAAGCTACACAGAGAAACCCTGTCTCAAAAAACCAAAAAAAAAAAAAACATAAAATGAAAAAATCTGGATTAAGTAGCCTTTAAAATCTAATTACAGTATATATAACATGTATATATATATATATATATATATATACAGTATAACATATTATATATATATATATATATATATATATATATATATATATATATTGACTTTCGAGACAGATTTTCTCTGTGTAACAGCCCAGGCTATCCTAGAACTTGATTTGTAGTCCAGGCTGGCCTCTAACTCACAAAGATCTGCCTGCTTCTGCCTTCCTAGTTCTGGGATTAAAGGCATGCACCCCGCCCCCATCCCCCAGCTAAATCTTAACTCATATGTAGATACTCAGAATGGGATTTCTCACACAAGTTTAAGCATCTTTTTGTCTTATGTAATTAGACTCCAGTTTAGACTCCCTGAGACTCAGTTTTGCCTTCTGTGAAGTAGAAATCATAGCTATGCATTGCTGAGTCATTTTACGAATACATGGGGCCTGGAGAAATGGCTCCCTGGTGAAGAGCACAGGCTGCTCTTGCAGAGGACCCGAGTTTAATTCTCAGCACCCACAACCACCTGTAATTTTGGTTCCAGGGGATCTGATACCCTCTTCTGGCCTCCATGGGCAATAGGCACACATGTAGTGCTTAGACATATGCAGGTATTCACACATGCATACTAAATAAAAATAAACAAAACCAAACAAAGCTTGAAGGCATAAAGGAGAAATTTGACAAAATTCCCCACTTTTTTATAGGCAACCTTTGACCTTATAATAAAGGAAAATGGTAAATTATACTAAGTATTGTGATATCCAGTCTTAGTTCTCTTCTACAGCCTTTGTTTATTGCTTGCCCATTTCCCTGATGCACTAAGAAGGAAGGCAGTGTCCTTGTCCTCCTTTTTTTCTGACGAAGAAGCAAATTTCATAGGAAATTTATGAAAATGACTGAGGTCACCAAGAAAGTCTTTGTTGGCCAGGCAGTGGTGGCGCATGCCTTTAATCCCAGCACTCAGGAGGCAGAGCCAGGCGGATCTCTGAGTTCAAGGCCAGCCTGGTCTACATAGTGAGATCCAGGACAGGCACCAAAACTACACAGAGAAACCCTGTCTCGAAAAAAACCAAAAAAAAAAAAAAAAAAAAAAAAGTCTTTGTTAAAGGTAAAGCTAGCTGTCACATGAGTGCTGCTGCTGTGGCCCAGTGGTGAGTCTCATGGATTGCATGCTCTAATCACTGAGCAGAGACCTGAATGGCACAGGAACCTTGAGCTCTGCCCACGATGGCTCCCATCATGTTGCACATCATCTCCCTTGTTTACTGCCTCTTGGTTATGAATTTGTGGCTTGGTTCGCTGCTTTGTGTCCAGATCTATTTGTTTCTAGAAGCCAAGAACTCACAGAAAGATTTAGGTGGTGAAGTCTATGTCAGAGAAATGGGTTGGAAACAGATGGAAAGATTACAAAACAGTTCCAAATCTGGGTGCCAGAATTATCTATAATTTTATAATTTCTTTGTGGTGGTGTTGTTTTGTTTTGGTTTTGGTTTTTAAGACAGGGTTTCTCTGTGTAGCCTTGGCTGTCCTAGAACTCACTCTGGAGCCCATGCTGGCCTCAAACTCACAGAGATCCTCCTGCCTCTGCCTCCTGAGTGCTGGGAATAAAGGCGTGCGTCACCACTGCCCGGCTTATAATTTTTTTAAATATGTTGGCCTTTAAGAGCTTGGGAAATAGAGTGATTCAGTTTTGAGCCAAGTGCCAGTGGCTGTGCTGGCACTTATCTACAGTATCAGCACTTTGGCCAAGGAGGGAAGGGGGTCAGGGTTGAAGGCCACTCTTAGCCACACAGGGATTTGAAACCGACCTGGGATATGTGAAACCCTTTTTGGTGGAAAACTACAATAGAGGCACGTAGCATGCTACCAAATAATACTTTTCTGTGGATCTACTTCTTTGGGCAGCCAAAATCCTGCTCTGTAGCCAAGAGTTGTGTGTGTCCTTCTACTGTAGATTCATGGAAAGAGACACATGTAGGGACAAAACACTTTCCAGTACTTAATTGAACTATACAGTCTATTCATTTCTTTAGCCATTTTTCCTTTAGACTTTTAAACCTTTGTACTAAAGGCCAGAAACATTATAATACTGCTGTTTTCAGCCTGGTTGTTGAATCACATAATTAGATTCTAAATCCTATCTCCTTTTTAAATTAGGGAAGTTATAAAGTTCAGTAGGGGCCTTGGGCTCTGTGATACAGTACTTGTTTGTATTCTAGGGCCCTGAACTCAACTATCTACCCCAATCCCTGCCCCCAACAAAGCTTTATAAGTCACCTGTACTGGAACAACATGCTTTTTCAGCAAGTCTTCATTGTATATAAAATACTAACAATTTTACTCGTATTTTCTTAAAAGCCAATTTGACAAGTACAATATTCTTGGAGGAGGTAGTAAGAGCCTGGTGTGCAAAACAACAGTGGAAAAATCCTTATCTGTTAGCAGATACACTCTGTGGAGTGTGAGCAGATGGAACGCAGACTTTGGAACATGAAGGGCATATTTCTGGACATTTGATGAACACCCTGGGATTTGGGGAATTAGATCCAGCATCTGACTTCTTCTTGGCATTTGCTTAATCTCTAGTAATATCCCATGGACATTCCTTCTATGATTCTTTTTTAAGAAAAGTTTTTTTTTTTTGAGATTATAATGTAATTGCATCATTTCCCTCTTTCCTCTCTCTAGACACTTTCACACACACACACACCCCTTTGTTTTCTTTCAAACTCATGGCCTCTTTTGTCATTAATTGTTGTTACACACGTGTATGTATTCCAAAATACATAAATACGACCTGCTTAGTCTATGTAATGTTACTTGTATGTGTGTTTTCAGGGGTGACCATTTGGTTTGGATAACCCATTGGTGTGTTTGTCCTTGAGAAAGACGATTTCTCCTGTTCTCAGCGTTCCGTAGTCGCTTGGAGAGTTCTTTGTGTAGTTCACGAAGGGCTGAGGCTTCATGGTCTTTCCCCATCTACGTTTTCGTGTCTACTGGTGTCGTTCTTGTCCAGCTCATGTTTAGGCAGTCATGCTGTTAAGACTTTAAGGGTGTAGCTTTTGACATTCCTAGGAAACACAATCTCACAGCAAGCTCCCTGATCCTCTGGCTCTCACAATCTTTCTGCTCCCTCTTCCACAATGTTCCTCTAGCCTTAGGTCCAGGAATTGTTTTGTAGATATAACTTGGGGCTGGGCTTTACAGCTCTTTGGCCTTGTTGTTGTTGTTTGTTTTTAAGATAAATCATGTACTTTAAAACCTTTGACAAAGAAGTCTAAGTGCGTGGAATTCTTGAATTTGGGAAAGGAATGCCTTTGTACATTAGGAGTACATACAATTCTTTGAAACAGAAATACGTTGCTTTTTAACATAGCAGTATGACCACCGGAGCTCGCGCTGTTCTTTTCACAGTGGCACTTCCTTTGTGGTGTTCTTGACCGGCATCTGTAGACCAGCTTTCGCTTCTGTTGTGGTTTTCACTAGACTTAACCAGAGGCACACACAGCTTTAATGTGTGTGTGTGTGTGTGTGTGTGTGTGTGTGTGTGTGTGTGCGTGTGCGTGTGCGTGTGTGTGTGTGTGCGTGTGCGTGTGTGTGTGTGCGTGTGTGCGTGTGCGTGTGTGTGTGTGTGTGTGTGCATCTCACAGGTAGTGGGTCACTTTATTCCTCTTACTAAGATTAATTAGAATGAGACAGGACTTCATTTGACTGCCACACTCCATCGGCATCACAAGCAAAAGTGGACCAAGTGCATAATGATAGATCAACACATATGTGCTCTCCTAAAGGGAAGACTTGTCCAGTGTCCCTACATTTTCCTTTTTGTTAACTCATATTTACCCAGGCCAAGAAAAACTTGAACTCCTCAAGCCTAAAGATGTGTTATGAGCCATAGGATGTGATTCTAGCCTATGGCTGAACGGGAGAAAGTTAGAGAGAGGGAAGGTTCTTACTTAAGGAGACACTTAGGCCTACATTAATGAAGTTAAGTCCAAGAAACAGGTGGAATCTGGTGCCAGAAGAATTGGCAGGACTTGGTTTATCCATGTGCTCATCCCATTCATTACAAACAAATGGCTCTTTCTTGTTCTTATTTCGATTTTGTAGCTATCTGTCTCTGCCTCCTCTGTAGCGGGGGTTTCCAGAGAGCATTGCTAGAGTTGTTACCCCTGTTTTACTTAGTAGGAAAAAGAGGAGAGAAGTAGTCTCTGAGGCAGCAAAGCAACAAGGAGCAGTGTCGGGGTTCGACTCTGCCTTCCATAGTTCTTTTCTCGACCCCAGGTTGCCTCTGCCTCAGCTCCTGGTGCCATACAGCTGTCTACTGTCTGGCTCCTTAAACAGTAGAAACATTTACAGCTTTCATGCACATGGCATGCTTAGCACCTGCCTTTTTGGACCAAGTACACTGAACATGTAAATGCCACAGGTCCTACAAAGGCTCAGACTGCAAAGAATGAGCGCCACTTGTCCATGAATTGATGTCAGCTCAGACTTAAGGCCCATAAAGCCTAGTTTGTAGCATGCAGATCAGTGTGATTCCTTTTGGGCAGTTAATGGCTTTTTTTTTTTTTTTTAATAAAGCACCACTGACAGTGTTCTAAAACTCCCCATCTAGATATTTTCCACTCAGATTTCAAGCTCTTGAGTTGATTTTTGGGTTTGTTTTGTTGGGTCTTTGAAAACTTGATTTAAATGAACCTGTGGAATTTCTTGACTGAGAATCTGCCCTGTTTTTCCCTTTTTCTAGGTCTATTATTAGCAGAAGATTTTTCTGCATAGTTGGCACGCTGTACCTGTATCGGTGTATTACAATGTATGTAACTACACTCCCAGTACCTGGCATGCATTTCAACTGTTCTCCGAAGGTAAATTATTCCTCCCTGTCATTTCCTTTTTTATTTGTTTCTCCTCTTGCTCTGGGGACCTTGGACGAAGGCCAAGATGAAAATTTATTCAGAATCACTTTCATCTGGGAATGTCCCTAAGCTATAGGGCCAGACAGCCACACCCTTCTCGGAATTCCCAAGCCTTGCCAGCCCCTCCCAGTTAGGAACCAATGTGGCTAGTGTGTGTGCTGGAAGCTTCCTGTGGGGTAGAGCTCCTTGCTTCCTGCCAGACTGTTAAATGTGTTCTTGGGGGCAGATCTGGAAGCCTTCATCTGTGTTCTCCTCCACTGTGACAGAAAGCTGTTTCCTGTGCATTTTTCCTTTTCTCTGTCTTCCCATTGGCCCTTTCAGCAGAACAAGGCAGGCACACTCCTGTCCCTTGGCAATCCTCTGCTAGTTCATAGGAGACTGTTCTCGGGAAGAACGTAGGGCCATGCGTCCGCTACCTTTTCTTGTATCCCAGAAGATTTTGAACCTGCCCTATATCCCTCACTTAGTGTTTCTGCCTTTGCACCAGGGAGTAATAACCTTTACTTTAGAAGCGATTTTAACTAGGAAATCCTTCGGAATGTCATCAAATAGGAAAGACTTAATTCTTTAATACATTAAAGCTCTTTAGTGCAGTAAGAAAGAAAAGAGGCTAAGTTCCTGCCTTGATTTCTTGATTTTTTTAAAAAAAAATATATGTGTGAAAAACATATATATGTGTGTATATATATATATGTATATATATAATACTTTATTTTGAGATCATTTATCTGCATTGAACTGTGTACTGAAATAGCCAGTTGCCTTTGGTCCTATCCCTTTCTAAGTCTCTTCCTGCCAAAGGAGACATCTTCTCAGAGAAGTTTTGGAAAGGGGCCTGTACCGTTCACTCTAGATTTTTTAATGGCATCTTCATGATAGAGAGTTCTGGATCCTTTTAGTTTCTATGTACATTTGTCTCCTCTTAGACTTGGCCGACATTCCCACAGAGTGACTGGTTACTTTTCCAACTCTGTGCAAGGTTGGCTGAACTCTGGAGAATGACTGTCCCAAGCATCGCACTCTATCAGCACCCCTACTTCTCTGCACCCTCTCTTGCTGTGGTCCTCAGTCCTTCCCCAGAAGCCAGCCACACATCTTGTTTTGTGAACGCTTCCCAGAACCCACTTGCAGTGCCCCGATTACAGAATTCTTTCATTCATTTACTTGTTTTATATTTGGAAATACCTTGTCATTGAGAGTCCAGCAAGTCTTGTTGAGAGTGTGGTTGATCAAGAGAATGTTCTGTACTGTAAACCGACAATTGTGACGCACACCCAAGTGCAGTTTGACTTTTTTTTTCTTTAACTACAAGTCAGTTTTACTTTAAACAGGACTGTTCAACAAAACATTGTTAGCCATTCATGACCTTAATTTTGGTGTATGAATTAAATTATGGTACACATTAAAAGCCATGAGACATTTATTTTGTCATAAATAAGGCAGTGGAATTACTCATTAGTAGCCTTTTTAAGATACACTGTTAGGTCTGCCCTTTCTCCCTTCTTCTTAATTCCAGCGAAGATCATTTTTGTTCCAGGGATGCACTTTTTGGGATTCTCCAAATACTCCTGCAGGGTGTCCTCTCCCCAGGTGATGCCTTGGTTCTTGTTGGTATCTGTGTGTGAAAATCCAGCGGCCTGACCTGTCTTCCTCCAAAACGACCATGGAGATTTGGTCCAGTCTTTTGCTTGCCTCCCCTTTCCACAGTGTGGCACTGGCACACTTCTGAACAAAAATCTTCTTGCCTTTCTCAACATCACCCATTTTTAATTCACTCCCGGGTGATCAGTACCACAATCGCTATGACCCAAAGATGAATGTCCTGCGCTCTCGCAGATCAACTCTTAATAGAGGCTGGATATTGGTAAAGTTGCTGCAAAGTAGTAGCTAGATGTAGATTCTGAAGCTAAGTCTACATCTAGGGGCCGTTTTCCACTCCCTGGTTCTAGTGTTGTGCCTTTGTGAGGGTATCTGCATTTCTCATAAGCTCTTCAAGTCCAGAGTTGGTGAGCTGTGGTTAATTAGAGTCGGCCAGAGTCATCAGTGTACCTAACCACAAGCCATGGCTAAGAATAGCTCTCGGGTTTTGTTGGTAGAGGCAGAGATAGCGGCACTGCACTGAGACTAACTCAAATGTGTCACCCATGTGTTGGCCGGAAATTCAATAGTGCCATGATTCAATGGCTGTCTTCTAAAATTGGAATGTTAAAAACAAACACTTGAAGATATATTAGCACACCTTAGCACACAGTAGTTAAAACAGTCTATTTTGTAGACTAAGAAAAAATTCTGCACACAGCTCTTTTAATGCAGGATTTCATGTTGCTCAGGGAACACTTTTAATTTTGTTCTGGAGTTTTCAAATGTATTTCAGTGTAGAGAGACCAGTGTAAGGAAATCTGTTACACCCAACACTCAGGTTCACTCGTTATCACAACTTAATGTTTTTGGTTCATCTGTCTACTTTTTTTGTTTTGGAAGTATTTTAAAACAAATATCAAACAGTGTCAGCCATTAAATCACTACATATGTAGCACGCATCAGAAAACTGGACATTACATAAGCATTATACTCTTGGAGTCAAAAAAATTAATAATTCTTTGGTATTGACAATTATCAGTTCATGGAATATCCTGTTGTCTTGAAGGTTTTTTTATGGTTTATTTGCATTTATTAGGATCTATAGTCTTTACGTATTTGCCTGGTCTGTCTGTCAGACACTTTCTCCCTGTTAGTGAAGTGTGGAGCTCAGATCCTTGGTCCTGAACTCCACTCACATTCACATTCTAAATTGACTCATCTTTTTCTTTGAAATGTCAGTTCACTTGTTCCTCTCTCGATATTTTCTCTCAATGGGAAGTTGTCTTTGGAGACCTGATTTGGTTCAGTTTCAGCATGTTTAGCAGGAATTCTTCATGGAGAGTACATAAAGCTGTCTGAATCCAGACTGAAGAGCTGAAAAGGACCCTCAGGGGGTGGATTGAGCTTGAGACTCACTGTTCTGCCACATACTGGAATGCCCCAGTATGGGCCAGTGTCAAAGGGGTCTCAGAGAGGTCTTGAGAGGTCTCGGAGACCAGTCAACACCAGGCTCAGCAAATCAGAATAAAAAGGAACCTTGTTAAATGTCACTTGTCAAGATACCTTCACCACCAAACTGCCATCAGCCTCTAAGACAAGTCTACAGAAAGCAGAAAGAATACTGGCTTGCACACTGGCCTACAAGGCATGTGACAGATGAAAGTTTATGAGCAAATCAAACTAATAACGTCTTTGATGTGATCTTAAGGATTTGTGAGCATGAGAGGAGACAGTGTATCAGGGGCTCTATCACTGTAAGATTCTGCAAGGAAGAAAAGGACATGGAATTGTCCTGCTCTTCCATTGAGAACTGGACAGTTTTGATTAAGTGCTCACTGTTTTATGAGCTCAGGTACAAGGGACGGGCCAGGTGGAGATTTATTTTGTTGAAAACACCTTAAAATTTACTTGGTTCAGGATTGTCCCTTGTGGAATGACATTTTGAGATGATACCATAAAAGGGTCAAGATAAGCCACTAACCCCAAAGATGGGAAACAGCACATGATTAGAGCAATGTTTAAGGGGTCAAATGGCAATAATTAGAAGAAGAAGTGAGAAGGTAAGGGACCAAGTTCAGTGACTGGGTTTTACCACTGGGATAATCGTTAAGTGGGAAGGAAAAGGGGTTAGTGACTTTGGGAAGAACACAAGTACTTGTGAGAACAGCCAAGTAGAGACATCTATGATGGGTAGGTTTGTAGTCTCAAGTTGAAGTGAAAACCAGGGCTAGGAAATAACTATTTGTGGTTGATCATATTCTGAATGGTAGTAAAAAGCTATGATTATAGATGAAAAGACCACAGGAAGGACATGGAATTTTTAATGCTCATATATAGAATTAGATGTTCAGTGTCTGAGGTCTGCTTAGGCCTTTTTATTGGTAGGTTCTCTTAAAGCTCTCACTCATCACTAAACAGTTGGAAGACAATTTAGCTTTACAATAGAGCTCTGCTGAGTGAGGAACTTAAACCTGGTTCCATTTACCCCTATATAAGTATATCTAGTACTTTTATCAGCATCAGAGTTCAAAACGGACAGCTTGTAAGAAAGTTGTTGCAACAAATCTACAATGGTATGTAGCTAGAGTTTTCCTGCCTGGCCCACAGCCAGAGGACAAATTTCTCTCACCTGCCAGTCCCACAGCCGCTCAGATCCAACCAAGTAAACACAGAGACTTATATTGCTTACAAACTGTATGGCCGTAGCAGGCTTCTTGCTAACTGTTCTTATATCTTAGATTAATCCATTTCCATAAATCTATACCTTGCCACGTGACTCATGGCTTATCGGCATCTTTACATGCTGTTTGTCATGGCGGCAGCTGGCAGTGACTCCTTCCGCCTTCCTGTTCTTTCTTTTTTCCTCTCTGTTAGTCCCGCCTATACTTCCTGCCTGGCCACTAGCCAATCAGTGTTTTATTTATTGACCAATCAGAGTAATTTGACATACAGACCATCCCACAGCACTGGTAATGATAGAAATTGATCTCACAAGAGTATAAGAGCTTTAGAAATAGTCATGAGGTAACAGGTCATCAGGTAGCACAGGCTTCCCACCAGATGTTGCTGCAAACAGTGATAAGTCACTGGGAATATGGAAAGAGAAGTAGACGTGTTCACTTCCTGGATTACAAATAACAAACTACCTTTCTGTACCCATGGGTTGTATGTGTGCCAGGCTTATGCTGGAGACTGCCAAGTGTTTGATACCTTGACTAGCCTATGGCAGTGTTACCACAGCTTTTCCCCAAGAGCATGTGTGGATCTCCAACCTCCCTCCTCTTGTCAGAACTGTTTAGAATTAAAAACAAACAAATAAACAAGGATAGGAACAGTTGATAATCTTTGATTTTAGATAAGTTTGTATT